CCGATCCTTTTTGAGGAAGAGATTTTGCGATAAAAAGCCGTGTGTAGATGGGGCCATTTGTCGAAAAAAAAAAACCTTTTGCACAAGATCCCTTATTCCTCAAAAATTGAGGTTTGCAGGCCCTTGTGCAAAAGGTCCTTTTTCCGACAATTGGCTCTGTCTGTACAGGGGTTTTTTAATCGCAAAAACCTCTTCCGCAAAAAGGATCCAAAGAAGATATGCAAATGAGCGCTCCATTTGCATTTTCTCTTCCACAAAAAACCCGCCGCGTAGACGTAGCCTTAGAGATGAAGCTGGACCCACCTCTGTTTAAAGGACCATCCACCTTGTGACAGTGATTTACTATTCAAGCATATTTATTTGACACAGAGAAGGGTATTTTCTACACCATGAAAGATGCTCTGGGCTAGATTTTCCATGCAAAAATTCCAACTTCGTGCACACTGCAGGTGCAAATACCTTCTTGGTATCATCATAGCTGCCCTGCTTGTTCAAACAATTGTGTGGGCAAAAGTTAACATGCTCAACTAAAAACCTATTGGCCAACTGGTGCATGCATTGCACACACACAAGGTTGAGCGCAAACACAGCCCTGCTTGGAAACATCCCCTTCTCTCTGTATACTGTGCATATAAAACAGAGCGTGTGATAATGAAACAGTTCTTCTGATGTGGCTGGAAACCAGATAGGAAGAACTCGAACTTCTGACTGCTAGAGTCAAGACACACTCCTCTATGTGTGGGCTGGGGCCCTGCAGAGGCTGGAGAGAGGTTCTTCCAAAGACCATCCATCCATCCATCCAGGGCGCCCTCTTCTCTAGGTTAAATCTTTACTGAATCCAGCTCTGAGAAAGGCTGGAGCAAAGGTTGCCAGGCCTGGCCTTTTGCATTTCAAGTCCTCATACAGGGTTTCAGAGTTTCCTATCCAATAGATCTGCACAGACAAACAGAAAAGGAAGCCAGCCCATCTCTCGTAAGAGGATTAGCACTGCAATGCTGGCTCTGCCCTGGCTTTCCCTGTCACTTCGCAAAAAAGCTTATTTTGCTTTGGCAGCGGGAAAGGAAAATCAAAGGAAAGGTCTGCCCAGATGGAGACAGCTATGGTGGGAGCCACAAACATCAGCAGTCGTTATATTATTCCACATTTTAAAAAAATACAAGCACCTACGCAGAGATGGGCTTGGACCACAATGCCAGCTCCACACACCCTTTGCTGTGTTGGCATTGGTTGTCTGGATCGGTATGTTTTGGCTTCATTGCCCCTCTGCTATTAAAGGGTCTTCAACTTTCCCCAAAAGTTGGGAATTTCATTGTTCAGGATGGAAATCTGGGCTGCCAATGCCAGCAGTTACTTGGTGTTCGGAACCCAGGGAAGAGAAACCCAGCTCTGCAAATCAAAGTCCCTGGTCCAAGTTAAGCGGAGAAGAGCAGCCACCTCCTTTACTTAGTTACATGATCTCATAAGAGATGATAAACACGGAGTCACATGCCAGGCAGCATCTTTCATTGCTTAAACGCCTGTATCTTTATGTTGCTTCCCTTCTCTCCCTCCGTCCAGTATCTGTGGACATTGTGAGCTCATGGCAGGAAGTTGTCCTTTGCCCATGGCTGTTCCATGCCATGTTGGTGCCAGACAATAAAAACATTTCTATAGGAACAAATATGAAAAGGCAAACTTACAGGTGGGCCTGGAGGACCTGGCAGGCCTGGGATACCTGAAGTGCAGGTACAGGAAGGAGTCAAGGTAGGGCAGGTCTCTTCGTTTCTCTGAAAGAAAAAGAAAAAGAAAAAGAAAAAGAAAAAATTTTCAAAAAGTACTATTTCTATGACTCAGTCACCTAAATCTCATTGAAAGTTAATGACACTTAGGCACAGCTGAAAATTTTACTTTATCGCTCTTGTAGTTAGCTGGATTACATTTCCCATGATGCACCATGGTTTCTTGGTGATATGAGGCAGTGTATCATGGGAGTCCAAGGGCTATGGTGGGGTTATGGGAGATAAAGTCCAGCTGAGACATTATATTCAAATTCAAATATTTTGGTTCCCATCTAAAGTTTTTCAGTTTCAAGCTGAAAACCAAAATGTTATAGCAGATAGTTTGTTTGAAAAATTATGTTTCATCAAAGATCCAATTTTCTATCAATAACAATTAAAAAAGGAAAAACTTTCAATCAGCCCTACATTTTATAGTCACTGAAATTTACAATAAATATATCCTGTGGAAAGTATCAGTCTGCTCCTTTCTAAATATTTGGCCACAAAAATCTCAGTTCAGAAGGAATTAGGTTTTTTGAAGCCCAGGAGTGGGATATGTTATAAAAACAGCTGACAAGTTCAGGATTTCTAGTTCATGGGAGAATGAGAGACATAAAAAAGTTCCCACAAAATGGAAATCTCAAGGGAAAAATGTTTTAAAAACTCAACACATGGAATATCAAAACCCAAATATACTCGTCCGAATTCTGACTGCTGCTACCTGAAACTGACATTCTTGTCAGCCGAATGTCAGTTTTAGGCAGCAGCTGCTGGGGGGGGGGGGGGGGTCCCTGGCTAGGGACATTGTGGGCGTTCATATTCATGGGCTGCTGATTCTCAAAGCTATTTTCACCAATCATTTTAGGTTTGATAAACTAGCATTTTCCAATGAAGCTTTGTTTCGTCGGAAAATTTCTACCCGGCCACAGTTATAACTTAGAACTGAAGACCAAGAGCAGAGCCGTGTGTCTGAGCAAGTGTGATTCAAGTCAGGAACGGCATGCCTTGGTGGGGATATGTTTGAGCAGCTGCATCATTTGGCTATTAATTTCAGAGGGAGCAGACACAGACTCACTTGGCCTTAGCTCATTTTATCAGCTATTCAGAGAAAAAAAAAAGTCCATCTCCCTGACCCTGTCAAAATTCTATTTCAAGTGTCATTTACTTGTGATCCATCCCCCCCATCTCATCACAATGAGCCCAGAGGTGATCCATGTCTTACCAATGCAGGGAGATCACAACATCTGTCTTCCTCTGCCCATGAGCCACTGCATACGATGTGTAAAGACTGCAGCTGGAACTGTGGAGCAACCAGAAGGAGAAGGCTTACAAATGTGACAGGTGAGGCGGGTGGGCAACCTGCCATTTACATGGCCATGCATAGTTACTCTCTCTGCTGCTGAGGACAAGAGCTCACCTAAGGAGAATGTAGGTGTAGAAAAAAAGGATAGGACCGGACAGATTTTTTTTTTTAAATATAGTGCTTCCAGGTGTCCTGAAGAACAGCAATTATGCAGGCTGCTGTCCAAGTTATTATATGTCCCCAACAATAGCTCATGCCATGTCTTGTTAAGATGCCAATGAGGATAATAACCCATTCAATTGCAAGCCATGGGGTGGCCCAGCGGGAAGTTGTGTACGTTCTTGGCCACTTCTAGCTGCAGTTGAAGGTAAAAATAACCTTATGTAAGAGACCGTCATGGGCTTTCTCCGCCCCCAGCCCCATACAGACACAGTCTTGCAGAGACAACTGTAAAAACTGCAGATGCAAGGTAATGGATACCAAAATTAGAAGGGTCACTGGGCTGCATTACAAGTCCCAGACCTCTGAGGCCAGAGCCTTACAAAATGAACTCTATAAGCTGATCCATGCTACGAATACCCCTTTTGCTGTTTTATTCATATTTCTGCAGGAGCTGGTCCCAAGGGCCCCTGAA